AGTACTTTCCCCACAAACCACCACGAGCCTTTACCGCGCACTTTGTCCTCACTCATGCGCGCCCTGAGAAACTTCCCAGGGGGTCACCCATCCCAAGACTACTCCCGTGCAAGCACGCTTAACTTTGGAGTTCTTGGGTGATGAGCTCCCTTAAAAGGAGATGCACCTCTGTTGGTATGAGTGGTACTATTAATCTGTTTATATTAAATCTCAAGTGTTACAGCAACCGCCACAATGGTCCGTACTGTGACCATCTTTGCTACCGGAGCAAAGGTTTCATGATAATCAATACCTTCCACTTGTCTATTCCCGCAAACCACCAGTCGAGCCTTATACCTGTCAAGACTCCCATTACTTTTGTATTTAATTTTATATACCCACTTACAAAATATAGGCTTTTTGCCGGGTGGCAGGTTTTGAATAGTCTAAGTGCCATTGCATTCGAGCGCATCCACCTCTCGTTTCATCGCCTCTCGCCAGTTGGAATCACGTACTGCCTCATTGTAAGTGGTTGGTTCTTTGACAGTTGAAATAGCTGCAAGAAAAGCACGATGCGAAACCGAAAAACGAATATATGCTACATAATCAGATAGAGGATAAGGCTTACCTGAAAACACCGACGGAGAAGGCAGAACGACAGATGGAGCATTAATTTTCACGGTATTTAACTGAACTTCATAATCTGAATGCCAAAAAGGTTTCTGCCTCACACGAACTCCCCGTCGAGCCACATGTGTAAGTGTATCGCTCCCATGCAAATCCATGTTCTGTTGTGCGTCGTCCCGTGAACTATCCTTATCATGCGGTCCTTCTACAAATCTCTCCTCTTCATGTCCACCACGTGGTATCTCATCTGCTTGGGTGTCACCATGAGTACAAGGAATATCTCTGGCAGCATTCGAATCCCATGAATTAAATTCCTCCTTTTCATCCGTGGGTTGACCGTCCATATTCATGGAGCTTTGGGCAGTATCATCATGAGTATCATCATGACACGACCCCACCATTTTTTTAAAAGGAAATTTGGTTTCCACAAAGTGCACGTCCCGTGAAACAAAATGTCGATTGTTATCTAAATCAAACATTTTCCAACCTTTTTGAGAGTGGGCATACCCGAGAAAAACACACCTCACACCCCTTGGGCTAAATTTATCACGCACATTGGGAGCATGTGCATAAGACAAACATCCAAAAACTTTTAAATGACCATAAAGTGGTGCCTTGTTATACAACGACTCGTAGGGACTTTTGTGTGCTAGTAACGGAGTAGGCAACTGATTAATTAAATAACCCGCCGCCAAAACACACTCACCCCAAAATTCAAGAGGTAGGTTTGCATGAAACCGTAGAGTACGCGCCATTTCTAATATATGCCTGTGCTTGCGTTCTACTCTTCCAATTTGTTGTGGGGTATACACACACGAGGTTTGATGGATTATACCATTGTCGAGATAACAATTTTTAAGCTTCAAAATTCTGTACCATTATCACTTCGCACGACCTTCACATTTTTATTAAATTGGCGTTCGGTCATGGCACAGAATTGCTTAAAAATATTTATCACTTCATCTTTAGATGTCATTAGGTGAACCCAAACTGCCCGGGAAAAATCATCAACGATAGTAAAAAAATAATGAGCACCACAAGAAGAAGGTATTCGATAGGGACCCCACACATCACAGTGTACTAATTCAAAAGGTTCCACAGCTCTCGTGTTATTAATTTTAAAAACTTCACGAGTCTGTTTTCCTCTCAAACATGCATCACACACTTTATTCAACTCATCTACAGATCCAAATTTATTCAAACTAAAAATATAACGCATCACTTTTGAGGACGGGTGTCCTAACCGGGAGTGCCACAAGTTGCTTGAGTCTTGCTTCCTTATTTGATGAGCTGATATTGTGTCAAAACCGTGAAAATAGTATACTCTGTCCTGCCGTCTACCCGCTCCAATCAGCGTCCTCGTAGGCAGGTCCTGTATTACACATAACTGATTAGTAAAATATACATCACATTTTAGGTCATCAATTAAACGTGCTATAGATATAAGATTGCACTTCAGGCCAGGAACCAACAAAACCTTCCTGAGAATAATTTGTGAACTCAATTTCACAATTCCCATACTAGTCGCATGAGTGATTTCTCCATTAGGCAATATTACGGCCACGGGTGGCATCTCTTCCCTATGCACCAATAAATGTGCACAGCTAGTCATATGGTACGAAGCACCCGAGTCCAGCAACCATTTAATATCAAAATCCTTACCAGTTAATTTTTCAGTTGAAGCAGTCATCTTACTCTTCTCCAGAAGCTTCACGAGGCCTTGCCACTATTCATTTGTAAAGCCCGGAATCTGCCCGTCTTCTCGCCGCTCACTACTTCCTTCCGCACCGGTCTCTATCACGGCATTGGCGAGAGCTCGACCTCTACCAGTCGTCATAACTTCAGTCGATGTATTCCGCAGGAATACTCAGGTTTCAATTTCGTCGTTCAAAGGTTCAGGAGTCGGAAGACCCGCTCTGATACCATGAAAAATCTTATGCGAATCAAACGTGTTGTTTATTCGATTTACTGAAAATGTACATGCGTATACATTTATACAGGTGATAGCTAGTGTATGTAACTAATTGATAAGAACTACAGCTGTACACCCACTATACATTCGAATAAATAGGGGATAAATCCTAGGAAAATAAATAATAAAAAGGAACTCCTAGGATAATAAAACATATGCATGCACATGTAGGTACGTAGGGCCCAACAGAACCAAACAACTACGGTTCGGTTTGGTTTTTTACATTCAGTTTCGGTTTGTTAGCGGTTCGGTTTTATTTGGCTACGGTTCAGAATAATTTGATTCGGTTTTTTGTTTTCGATTTTTCGGACCCTGCCCTAGCTACAAATATACAATCTCGAAATCTTCTAAACCAATCAAAGTTAATATGGAAACTCCCGCTTCTTTTCTCTCATTCTTTCTTTATTTATTGCTCTTCTTTCTGATCGTTGGTTTATTTCCTCTTTAAAATGTGACTTTTTAGCAATGTTTTATCTCATCTTTTACTATGTTGCTCAAAGCTCCCTTTCTTTGAGCAATGTTTTACTATACTGCTCATAGGACTCACAATTGACACAGAAAAATATGTTGATTTCACACAGAAAACAAAAGCTTATTTGGATGAATGTTCTTAGAGGCTCTCTTAAAGTAAAAACCTGCACATCGGGGTCAGACCAATCTTTGTAAATCTTGTATGGTCTAGTCTATACAATTCAGCTATGGTCTGATCTAAGATTTGAAATCAACCTAATTAAATCTTTCTCATTTTATATAAGATTATATTTTTTTGTGGTAGTATATTGTTAGGTTTGTTTGTATGTATGACATCAACAAGAAGGTGAATAAATGGTGATCAATCATCAGTACATTTGAGGGAAAAAAGGAATCTTTACAGAGCATACACCATCACTAACAGCTTATAGTGAGTAATAATGCTCATAATTAAACAAAACAGTTTAATACCATGTTTTTTCTTGCTAAAAAACCAATAGAGAGGCAACCACATGTAGTGCTAAACTTGAAAAATATTTATAAACTGTTTAATATGGCTTAATATTGTCCAACTCGAGAGCAATGTTAAATTATGTAAAGTAGAAATCTTGGATATGACAATTATATTAATTATTGTCATATGCCTTCTGTTGACAATTTTACCATGTATGGAGTATATGATAATCACAATGGTCACAAATGAACCAAGTCCTACAAATATTCTCTTTCATACAATTTAGAATATAATACAGATTCCTATTTCCTAGGAACTAAGAAAACAAATAGATGCTGAATAAACCCTTTGACACTCCCAATCTGCTCCAACCGTACGTGGTATAATAAAAAAAGAAAGAAATTAAGCTAATTTGAAGGATCAATTCTACATATGTTTAAGATATAGACTGCATTCCAATCAGAACTTTCTAAGCCCTTGTGCAAAGCATTTGTGATCTTTCCACTTGTATCTTGTATACAACATTCCGTTTAGCATCCTGTATTAGTAGAAGGACTTGATCATCTGTCCTTATAATTAGCATTTAAATTACCATCTTGTCTTGCAAACATTATTAGTATGTTCATAATTTCGAAAATATGTTTCAACTAGTATATTTTCAGCAAATTAAATTCAATGACCTGCACAAGTTAGTGAGACGTATAGGCTTGAAAATCTTGTTTCTTTTAAGTTATCACTTCCTTATTTCTTATACTTAGTCACCCAATGCTTCCTTTTTTAAATCTTATATTTCAGAGTATGAATCAGCGGTCTTATTATAGATTTCGTTTTTGTTCTTATAATGAATCATATTTTTCTTCTACAGGACCTTCTTCCAGTCATTCAAAAATGTCAGAGCATTGTCAAGAAGTTCAAGTCAATTTTAATGAAGAGGTTGGTAAAAGTCTGAATGATGGAAGTAATTTTGATGGTGAAGGGCAATCAGTAGAGGGCTATAAAAAAATTTCCGATTTGACACCTGCTGATATTAAGAGACTCGAATTTGACTCTGAGGATGATGTTTATGCCTTTTATTCTTGTTATGCCCAAATTAATGGCTTTTGTGTCAGAAGAGATGATGTGCGTCGTGAGTCAAATAATAATATTATAATGAGAAATTTGGTTTGCAATCGGGCGGGATTGAGAAGTAAGAAGCACATGGAAAGGAACGATCGTGTTAGGGAGCCAAAGCCTATCACGCGTACCAACTGTATGGCACGACTTCACGCAGAGTTCGATAACCATACAAGAAAGTGGATGATTGTTGATTTCGAGGATACTCACAACCATGAGATGACCCCATCACAGTATGTCCATTTAATGCCAGCTTACAGCAGCATTAGTGACGGCATTAAAGCACAGGTAGATAGTTTACAGTTGCATGGAGTTAGAACTTGTCACATCATGGGGCTGATTATTGGTCAAAAGGGTGGGCATGCCGATGTTGGGTTCTACAAGAAGGATTTGTACAATTACATTGATCAGCAAAAGAGAGCTAAGATAAATGATGGCGATGCATTTGCTGCATTATCTTATCTCCAAGCCAAAGCAGACAGTGATAGTTTTATGTTTTCCAAGTTCACAACCACAGAAGAGGGGAGGCTCGATAACTTGTTTTGGTCGGATGGTGTAAGCAGGCTTGATTACCATTGCTTTGGAGATGTTGCTTTTGACACTACGTACAAAAAGAACAAGTATAACAAGCCTTTGGTTGTTTTTTCTGGGTACAATCATCACGGCGAAACAGTTATCTTTGCGTGTGCCTTAGTATCCGATGAGAAGACAGAAACGTACAAGTGGGTTCTGGAAACTTTTTGTGAATGCATGTTTGGTAAACATCCTAAGGCAGTTGTCACTGACGGAGATGGTGCGATGCGTGAAGCGATTAGGGCAGTGCTTCCGAGCTCCTTTCATAGGCTTTGTGCTTGGCATCTTCACAAAAATGCATGCGATAATGTTAAGAACTCACGTTTTCTAGAAGATCTTAATCCTCTAATTTATGGTAACTTTAGCCCTGATGATTTTGAAAGCAGGTGGAAGAAGACCGTTGATGAACATGGAGTTGCAAACAATAATTGGGTTAAGAAAGTTTATGACATGAAGACGATGTGGGCAAGTGCATATATGCGTGACAAGTTTTTTGCCGGTATTCGGACAACGTCCATCTGTGAAGGAATTAATTCATTCATTAAGCGGTATGTGCAGAACAAAAACAGCCTTGTTGATTTTATGCATAATTTTGAAAGAGCCGTAAAAGAGTATAGACATAATGAATTAATTTCTGATTTTAAATCCTTGTATACTGACCCTCTGTTGACCACTCCTCTACATGTCTATGAGTCGTGGGCTTCACAAGTCTTTACAAGGAATAAATTTTGTGAGGTTAGGAAACAGATTGAGAATGTTGCTAGACTTAATTTAGTTGAAAGGGTTGAGCATGGTGGTGATAATACTTGTTTCAGAATGAATAAATTCGGCAGTCCAGACACCGAGTTCCTTGTTATGTATGATAAGGGTGGCTGTAATTTTGCGTGTGATTGTCGATTGTACGAGTCTCGTGGTATTCCTTGTGCACACATATTTTGCGCTATGAGGCATGAAAATATTGATTCAGTTCCGAGTAGTCTTATTTGCCAAAGATGGACAAAAAAAGCTAAACTAGATTCCATGTCCTCAATTGATGGTAATGGTGACGATTCTGAATTATCCAACTTGGACATGTTGAGGTCTGGTGCTATCTCTGCGGCATGTAACAAGTTATATAGAGCAGCTTGTAAAAAACCATCACTTTATTCCGAGTTCATTGCCGACATTGAGAGCTTGATAGGCAAATTTGAAAAGCGTGGTGGTGATGCACTTAATCTGAATAATGGCTCTAAGGTTCTTGATCCAACAATTGTGAAGACTAAAGGTGCTCCTCGTAAGGACAGAAATACTAGAAAGAGGAGAAGATGCGGACATTGTCAGCGACATGGTCATACGAAACGCAAGTGTCCTACGTTGATTAATCGTGATCAACTACATGTGTTTGAGGAGGAGGAGGAGGAGGAGGTGGAGGGCAACGACGAGTCATCTGAGCAATCTGATGATACTGGCACCACTAATAATGTAAGATCACTTTGCTTCTATAACCATTAGATTATAAGTAAGCAATTGGATTAAATATTTTTCTTTTAATCATTTCTTTGTTATTAAGGGCAATGCTCATATGCTTGGAAGTAAAGGACACAAAAATAAAAAGAAGAGGAAAAACACAGAAGATCCTACTAGATGTGCAAACACTAATGATGTAAGTTCTTTAATGGAGTTTGAAATTATTTTTAGTTATAGTGTTTTGAAATTGTATTAACTATGTATAAATGGATATGGCACAGGCTGTTGATAGAGGGAATAATAGTCATATCAATTTACCAGTGACTAATGCTAATGTAAGACACCCTTTTATCGTGTCTTCACTATTTTTAACAGAGTAAAAATGCATTTTATCATATCTTCACTATTTTTATAGGATGAACTTGCAAATGACATAATGCTTGCACAAGATCATCATCACCAAGGAGGACATATACAAATGCCTTCTTATAACAACATACCAGTCCATCATACTAATTACAATGGTTATATGACATCCAATTGGCAATTTCATCCTCAATATCCCACTCAGCCTGCTGCAATGTTTCATGCGCACTCTTATGGAGGATTTGCATCAGGGATATCCATACCATGGATATCATAATTCGGTGATTATTTTGTTATTGTTTATTGAACGATTACATACATAGTATTGATTTTGAAAGTATTCGTATATATAATGCATTTTTTGTCTTTGCAGTTTGTGAGTACTCTAAAGGAGGTTGAAAGAAATGCAAAAGATGGAATAAAGAATGGAAATGGAAGTTGATACGTGTGTAAGTGTGTATATATGGAGTATGTTTGTGGTATATGTTATAAGTGTATATATGTTATTGTCAATGCTCTGCACACATTTCTCATTTAGTCTAGAGTATGTTTTGTTGCCGACTTTACTTATAACTGTATTTGTATTTGTGTAAATGCTGCAGTTTTAGTATGTTACATACTGACTATTTTTTTGTGTCATTTCATTCATTCCACAGGATATGTTGCTTCCATACCTAGAAGATTATGAAGACGGATGTAGCATTACTGAGATTGTTGACATTAGAGAAATTTGATGATTCTGCTTCCAATTGTACCACTTCTATGAGACTTCTTCGAGGGTTCAAAAAGGCTCGATGAGTTATGGGTCTTTCTGGGAATTATATTCGATGACAAGGATAGACTATGCAATTCACATTGTTGATTGAGGCAGAAGCAAACCACATGCAATTTCTTATTGTGAATTTTGTTTATTCTATATATTAATATATATCATGAACACCATTTGTTTTCTCTACCACACATCATGAATTAATTATACAATCCCTGTGCTCAATGTATACCTCAAAGCTTCACTGAAGTCTAGATTGGTTTAGAGAAACACTATTGCCAATATATAGAGTTTGCATAGCCGTTTATTCATAAATTTGAGGTAGGCATTAGAGAACATATTGCCTGAAAGAGTGGTTAAAACAGAGGAAGCTGGATTGCATGCTGCCTAGTGAACTGTTTATTCTTGTTAGTTTTTCTGGTATCAAGTGTATAATGTGGATCATGTGGTGTGTCTAAATAATTCAAATAGAAACTAGTATCCCAATTAGATTACACCATCACTAGAGTTCTAGTATCCTTGGTATCAGGTAGTTGTGGGATTGAATTAAGATCTGCCAGCTCTACTAATCCTTTTGGTAGCAAGAATTTGACATTGCATGCATCACCTGACAAATGAGTGTAGTAACTACCTGTTTTAAAGCATATTTGGGTGATAGATGATGTGAATTTGCTATCAGCAGTCCGAATTAAACCAAGAGAGTTCCAATATTTGTGGATTGAGAAGTTTGACATGATTGGCAGATAAAAAGAAGTTAGCTCTTTGGGTTTTTAAGAGATGGATACACGATCATACAAAAAAGATACAAAAAAGAGTGCTTATTCTGTCAAGTTATGAAAGTATTGTTACGGATGCAGAATCAACTTCACAGACATGTTAATGTTCTAGTTCAAGCTAGCTTCAATTAAAAGGCACAGATCTTAAAATGGATGTAATTATATTGTTTTTAAATGGATGGATAACGTTCTGCCTATGTTTATTCTATTTATTTGTTTAGTAATTTCTATTGGAAAAATAGCCCTAAACATTACTTATTATTAATTATAGACAAAAATGTGACAATAAGTTATTATTAGTAAGTTTTACAATCACTACAATGTAATATTTGAATATAAATATAGTAACTAAAATTACTAGAATAACATTTTAATAATAATCCAGATTTATTTTCGCTAGTGTAAGACTGCTAATATTCTAATAATATAATATTTCCAATAATATCATAATTTAATAATAATAGTAATTCTATCAATAATATAGTAATAACAAAATTAAATAATACTAGTAACAAAAAGTGACTAGGTATGAATACTTAGATAATAATTTCAGTGACAATATTATTATTATTATTAATATTATTATTACTATTATTATTATTATTCTTACATTATTATTACTATTACTATTATTATTTTTATGACAGAGACAAAAGTGTTTTATTGCATTAATTTTGATGGTTCATGTTTTGCGCTTAGTTCGTGATTCAAATCCACGTGACTATTTCACTTCAAAAAACTCAATAAAAATACAACTACAAATAGTAGTAAAAGTAATGATAATAGTAATAATAATAGTAGTAGTATTAATATATATATATATATATATATATATATATATATTTGGTTTTAAAAATAAATACATAGTATTGGTTTTGATAAAAACATATATTCACCTCTATACGTAGAACCTCATCGATTAAAGTATACTAGAAGACAGTATTTTAAATAATATATTCGACTCACTATTCTATGATGATGATGATGATGATGATTAGGAGGAAGAGGAGGAGGAGGATAATAATGATGATAATGATGATGATGAGGAGGAGGAGGAGGAGGAGGAGGATGAGAACGAGGAGGATGATGGTGATGATGATGATCATGATCATGAGGATGATGATGATGGTCATGAGGATGATGATGATGAGGATGTTGATGATAATGATGATGATGAGGATGATGAAAATATAACTCTATCATGACTTAAACATTATACTCCTTTAAATAATATCAACTACCTTTCATTAATCAATAATAATACATACTTTATAAATAACTTTAAATAATACCAATTATCTGAACATTACAATACCAATTATGTGGGCGTAAACACATTCAAGTTAGTTTCCTATTTTTAATAATATCAATAGAAACAACAACAATATAAAAATAATAATAATAATATTAATAATAATAATAATACATAGTATTGGTTTTGATAAAAACATATATTCACCTCTACACGTAGAACCTCATCGATTGAAGTATACTAGAAGACATTATTTTGAATAATATATTCGACTCACTATTCTATGATGATGATGAGGAGGAGGAGGAGGACGATAATGATGATGATGATGATGATGATGATGATGATGATAACGATGATGAGGATAATGATGATGATTATGAGGATACCGATGATGATGATGATGATGATGATGAGGATACTGATGATGATGAGATCATGAGGATGATGATGATGATGGTGATGATCATGAGGATGATGAGGAGGAGGATGATCATGAGGATGATGATGATGATGATGATCATGAGGATGAGGATGATGATGAGGAGGAGGATAATAATGATGATGATGATGATGACGATGATGACGAGGATAATGATGATGATTATGAGGATATCGATGATGATGATGAGGATACTGATGATGACGAGATCATGATGATGATGATGGTGGTGGTGGTGGTGGTGGTGGTGATGATCATGAGGATGATGAGGGGGAGGAGGAGGAGGAGGATGATGATGATCATGAGGATGAGGATGAGGATGATGATGAGGATAATAATGATGATGATGACGATGATGATGAGGATAATGATGATGATTATGAGGATATCGATGATGATGATGAGGATACTGATGATGATATCATGATGATGATGATGATGATGGTGATGATCATGAGGATGATGATGATGATGAGGAGGAGGAGGATAATGATGATCATGAGGATGAGGATGATGATGATGATGAGGAGGAGGAGGAGCAGGATAATGATGATCATGAGGATGAGGATGATGATCATGAGGATGATGATGATGAGGAGGAGGATGATGATGATGATGATGATAATGATGAGGAGGAGGAGGAGGGTGAGGATGATAATCATGAGGATGATAATGATGATGAGGAGGAGGATAATGATGATAATGAGGATGATGATGATGATGAGGAGGAGGATAATGATTAAGAT